GCCTCTTCATCGTCGGTAATTACCCCCGCCGCCGCCGCCTCCAAGGTGGATGATTACTCCTCGTCGTCCAACGAAGATCACGGCAATGGTTTCTCGTTAATGGAATTTGATGATTGCGGTAAGAATGGAAATAATGCGCATGATGTGCTTCTTATTGATGATGAAGTGCCGATGTACAACAACACATTTGACGAAACCCCGGCGCCGACTTTGTTGGATGAGGAACAGAGTCTGAGTTGGCCGGAATTTCCGTTGGATAGTATCTATAGTTACCCATATTGGTCAAACGACGGTGGGCTCAGTCATCTTGGTTAATCAGATTTGTGGTTTCTAATCAGAAGCTTTAGCTAGCTAGCTAGCTTAGTTCCATGGACATCTTAATCATTTACTATAAGATGTGACAGCTTCTTTTCCTTCCTTTTTTTTATAATCGATCATCACTATATTGTGCTTGTGTAAATTATTTGAGCTTCAGTAGTATTGGTAATGTGTAATATTTAGAAACACCCAATAGGTAGCAATGGGGTTAAAGTTTAGTTTTCTTTCATCACTTTAAAGAGTATGTTTTAGTTGCTTTGTCTCCTCAAATTTTGCCGTGTGCTCACGATGGGTGATGTTTTCGTGGAAATGCCCGCCGATATCCTCGATGTCCTATAGTACTTTATTACTTTTTCGAACCCAATTGTTACGTTCCAAAATCACCGTTATTGGTACACTTTTACCTTTGGCCACGAATCGTTCTTTTCTTTCTACTCTATTTTTCCTATTATTTAGTTGCGCATCCAAACGAATAAGAAACTAAGAAAAAAAATAGAAATTAATAATTTTCAATCCAAATCAAAGTCATATTAAAATATAAAAATAACTAGCCATAAAAAAATAATAATAAGTAATATAAAAATTTAGTGATGGACTTTTTTGGATAAGATTACTCCTTCCGTCTCACCCTTAATAAGAGCACATGTGAATAATGTGCGCATTATTTTTATTGCTTTTAATGTCATTTTTATTTTGGAACGGAGGGATATGAGTTTTCAAAAATATTTTTGATTTGTTGCGATTTTGGGTTGATGGTTTTGAATCGCGCAGATGTGCAATTATAAAATCGTGGACTTCGTTCGCAGCCACTATGGCTTAGAGTAAAATACAAGAAGTGGAAAAGGGGTCAAACTTCTCCTCCACCAACCCTAATCTGGAATTCTGGATAGAGCTAGTCCAAGCCGTGGATTTTAACTCCCTGGCTAACTCCAGAGAATAAGACTAATAGGTGTGGTTGTAGAACTAGGCTAAAATTTCTGACTTAAAGCACCCACGACCCCAGTAAATAAACACTATTTGTTTGGTAACACGGGCAATATAAATACAAATATTATACTCATTCTGTTTGAGAAAATTGTAGTATCCTATATATAAATTTATTTGAATGACAGGACAAAATCCTCCATTCCACTCGAAATTAGATGAACTCACATGATTGTCGCTCATCATGTGTCTTTTCCATCACTCCCGAAAGTTGTTATATTATGCACATTAAGTGTATTTAGCTAGGTGCACTTAGATTTTTTTTGATTATTCAATAAGGGGGGACTTCATGTATAATTATTTAACATATTTTTTTTTCTTTTTCAATGCACGTGTCCCTTCCCCTTAATTTTAGGAACTGGCTTTTAACAATTTCTTTTATTTTCAAATGATTTTATTTCTTAATCCATAATAAACTAGACCAAGTGTCTTATATCATTTTGATAATACTCAATGAGATCTATCCAACAAAGTCCATTATGAATATGTTTTTCGAAATTTTAAAAAATTTATGCAGTTGGTTTGGTCATCCTAAAAGACGCTATGGTCTTACTTGTGTCTTTTAGAACCAAGACCTAGAGCAAAGACCAAAGACCAAAGGCCAAAGACCGAAAACCGAAAACCAAAGAACAAAGACAAAAAACAAAGACCAAAGATCAAAGTGAAGAGCGAGCGTGTGTGAGGACCAAAGACCAAACATCAAAAACCAAAGACCAGAGTGACGAGCGAGCGTATGTGAAAAACAAAGACCAAAGACAAAAGGCTAAAGACCAAAAATTGAAAACTAAAGATCAAATACCAAAGACCAGAATGAATAGCGAATATGTATGAGAAGCAAAGACAAAAGATCAATGGCCAAAAGACCAAACTAGGCCCTAATTAACACGGAAATACTTAAACCCCCCTAAACCCTAAACCCTAAACAACTAGACCCTAACCGACACGGAAATACTTAAACCCACTAAACTATAAACACACTAATATTTTTTTTATTTTTTGGTTTAAATTTTTTTAAACCAAAGTATAATTGGTTTAAAAAAAATTCATAAGGTTAATCGTGTTATGCACAAATTAGGCCCTAACCAACGCGGAAATGATTAAACCCCCTAAACTCTAAACCCTAAACAACTAGATCCTAACCGACACGGAAATAGTTAAACCTCCTTAAACTCTAAGCACACTATTTTTTTTTTGTTTAAAAAAATTTATAAGGTTAATCATGTTACGGCACAAACTAGGCCCTGACCGACACGGAAATGTTTAAACCCCCTAAACCCTAAAACCTAAACAACTATACCCTAACCGACACGGAAATGGTTAAACCCCCCTAAATCCTAAATACACTATTTTTTTTTTTGTTTAAATTTTTTTAAATCAATTAGGCTAGGGTCGTGTTACGCCACAAACTAGATCCTAACCAATAACGAAATGCTTAAACTCCCTAAACCCTAAACCCTAAACAACTAGACCCTAACCGACAAGAATATTCTTAAAACGTCCTAAACTCTAAACACACTAATATTTTTTTGATTTTTTATCTTTGGCCTTTGGTCTTAACTTCTCACACACGCTCGTTTTTAATTATGGTCTTTGGTCTTTGCTCTTTGGTCTTTAGTTTTTTGGTTTTTGGCTTTTGGTCTCTGGTCTTTTGCTTTCGGTCTTTGGTCTTTGCTCTTTGGTATTTGGTTGTTGGCTTTTGTTCTTTGGTTTTTGGTCTTTGGTCGTTTGCCTTCCGTCTTTGGTCTTTGATATTTGATCTTTGGTTTTTGGTCTTTGGTCTTTGCTCCTCACACAATGCTCGCTCTTTCACTCTGGTCTTTGGTCTTCGATTTTTGCTCTGTGGTCTTCGGTTTCTTGGTCTTTGGTCTTTGGTATTTTGTCGTTGTTCCTCACACACGCTCGCTCTTTACTCTGGTCTTTGATCTTTGCTCTTTGGTATTCAAGTTTGGTCTTTTCAATAGGTCTTGGTCCTAAAAGACACAATAAAACCAGAATATCTTTTAGTAAGACCAAGGCTACTGCATAAATTTTTTTAAGTTTCGAAAAACATATTCATGAGGGATCTTGTTGGATAGATCTCGTCGAGTACTATCAAAATGATGTGAGACACTTGGTCTAATTATTTACGGATTAAGAAATAAAGTGATTCGAAAATTTAAGAAATTTTTAAAACCCAATTCCTAAAATTAAGGGGAAGGGGCGCCACATAACTCATAAAGACTTGTATGTTTAGCCATCCTTTCCTATACTAATTACCAAATAAGGATATATGTGTATCTAGCTACATGCACTTAATGTGTATGGTATAATTTTCGCACTTTCGAATAGAGTGTTAGAGAGTTCCTCTTTTAGTGTATGATCAAGTGAATTAAACAAAACTTAAATAAGGGAAAAAAGTAAAATACTATAAAGAAGGATAAAAGAGTGAAATTGTAAGTTAATAATATTCCCTACTTCACAAAAAAATAGTCCACATTAAGTTTTGAGTTTTGTATTGTTCTTTAGAACGGAGGTAGTATGATTTAGTAAAAAAATTTGTACTGTTTTTTAGTATAAATTTGAAAACTCAGTGAACTATTTTTTTTTTTTTGAACGGAGGTAGTATGATTTATCTTCTGTGGAAGATGTCTTTTCAATTTGTAACGAGTCACAGTTAATATATAAATTTGCTCTAGTGCAATGGAACAGATTACAGCAGCAAATGTGTATCTTTCCAGACTGGTAGGACAAATTATACAGTTTGAATCAAGGAGACAATGTGGCAAAATAGACTATAATTACATTTTTTGTGTTATCCCAATAATTATAAAACATTGTTAAAGTTTCATTTATAATTACGAAAACACGATAAATAAAACTTATGAGAAATCAAAATGTTTTAAAATTAGGACCAGATGAAGTAGTATAACAAACATGATAATTTTTTCTTGAAGAAACAAAGATTTATTTTACCACATTATGTTAAGAATTCATTTTAACAAGTAGTTTTATAAGCAGGTACTTGAGGCTACAGGCGAAAAATGTATTTTTGAGTTAAGAACCGAAAACGTCTAGTTTGATTTAACTCTTCTTTTTTTTTTGGTTGAAAAATGCATAACTCCACCACCAAAATTCAGATGAATATAAACCAAAACAAAGTTAAAAAGAATTTTCCTTCTCAATCTTCTTTTGCATAATAAGTTAATAACATTACTGATGAAATTGTTGTATCCATTGATCACGATATGGGTATTTATTAGATCTAGGGGTTTTTTTTTTCCTTTGATCTTAATTTTTTTTTGACGTCATATATATGTATGTATCTATATATTTGCTCTCCACCACTTCCCTTAAAAGTTCTTACTGTCTCTTATAGGGTGAATCTAACTATTTTTTATTTGTTGTACTTCATTTCCAATATAATATTAATATAATAATTCTTCTTCGAATTTTATTTTTATCTTTTTATTTTTAATAACACATACTAATGACAACCACCTATTATTTTACTAGTACTTCTATTTCAAATTTTAAATGGTCCAAATATTTTTAATTAGGGACAAGAAAACAATACACATGAAGATTAAAACCTCAATTATTATTTCTTTAATAATGTACAAATCCCAAAATCCATAGATAAAAAAAATAGAGGTAGTAGTACTACTAATTCATGCTTGTTAAGAATTTTTACTCTACTGAGCTATATTTTGATGTACAAAGGGAAATTGAATTAGATGTAGAACATATCCTTAAAAGCAACAACTTTTGACACTCTTTGGCGCTGTATATTCCCCACAATTTGATTTTGGCACCGCGAACGGCCATCGGCAAACTCCACAATGAACCCGCCACCTCCTTTTCCGCCTTACTACTACCACCAGCCTCCACCACCCTTCAACTCCCTTCCGCCCCCGGCAGCCATACCACCGCCGCCGCCACCACTACCAGCCTCTCATCTTCAACTACTTCCAGAAACAGCAGCTCCCGATCTTCCCACCGCCCTCTCTGCACTAGCTTCCCTCCTCCGCCTAACGGAAACCACTCTCAATTCACTGTCGCCTTACCTCCCGACGCCAAATCCCTCCGCTCTAATCCCTTGCCCCTTCAATCCTAATCACCGTCTTCCCCATTCGTCCCTCTTCTCTCACTATCTATCTTGCCCTTCCTCCTTCGCCCCCATTTCCGACCCCCAATCTCTCCTCGATCCTCTTCATTACCCCCAAGCCTTACATTCTACCCCTACAAAATCATCCCGCCCGATTCTCCTGAACCCTACCTCCCCAGACCTCAGATTTTCCCTCAAATACTTCATGAATGTCCCGCAAAACTTCTTCTACTTTAACTGCCCTGCTGCTGTCATTGTTGATCCTTTCAATACTAATGGGTCCTCGTCTCCAATGTTCTCGTTGCCCGGAAAATTATCCGCAGAATGTGCTAATTTTCGGAGTGATGGTGATTCAGATGAAAAGATTTCGCTATTGGAGTCTATTAGGATGTTTCCTTCGGAGATTTGGGCTGTACGGTATGAAACTGAGGGGTGGGTTGATTATCCGTCGTCTTATTCTTGTAGATTGCTTAGGTCTATTTTGAGCTTCTTCAATAGCGATTTATCGGGTGTGCTGACTTGGGTTATTGAGAATTCGCCTAGATATGGTGTCGTTATTGATTCCACCATGCGGGATCACATAGTTTTGTTGTTTAAACTGTGCCTGAAAGCCATCATTAGAGAAGCTATTAGCTTCTCGGGGGTTTTATCCGATGAAAGGGCGGATAGTGAAATGGGCTTGGGTGAGAAGAGATTCGATTGTCCAGTTTTGATGAAGGCAATGATGTGGTTAGGGTCTCAACTTTCTGTCCTCTACCGTGAAGTTAGTGGAAAGACTTTTGCAATCAACATGTTGAAGCATTGTGTTATAGATTCAGCAATGAGAACTTCATGTTTCCCTGTGGTTGAAATAGCCAAGGATTCTTCTGATTCAAGGGAACTGGATGCTAACTCTGAAGGGACATCAGCAAATAGTGGAAAAGAGGTGCTAAGAAGGATGATGCATGAGAGTGTTCAGAAAAGCAAGATTTTCGTTAACCAAGTAGCTGCTTCTGTTGCTGCCTTGTATGAGAGATTGTCACTCGAAGAGAAAATCAAAAGTTTGCGGGATACAAGACAACTTACTGCACATCAACGGTATGCCGACATTCATGTTTATATGTTGCCTACTTTGTCATGCACATATTTGAATGGATAAGTTCCAACTTGCTTCACATTTGAGGTTATGTTTTGAGCGTTCGGGGGCTAATGACTGGGTGCGTGCGTAGCTGGTAAAAATATTGAATTGTTTCTTGCTTGTTTGTTTTCTGGATCATATGTAGAGGGTATCATTTGTGTGATTCCTTCGGTGAGTTGCTTAGAAAGTCTTTCTTAGTTTCTTCATCAATTAGTATATTTTTGTTTAGTAGAATTCATATGATATGTTTGTATTGGAAGTATTCTCTGACATAGTACGAGTAAGAAGTTGTTCAGGAATTTCAGATGACTCGTTTCTGAAAGTCTTAGGAATTATTTTATGTCTTTACTGTTTATCTTTTGTTTCAGAACTGAATTATTTTATTTCTAAAGTGGGTAGGTTAACGCTCTGTGGTGACAGAAATATTTTGGGATGAACTTGTTTCAATTGAATAACTACTGACTTGATGCTTAAGTTTTACTTCTTTGTGTGCACTTGTCATAAATTGATGTAATGTAATGATTACATTAGTGATTCTATTAAGAACCTTGTTTGTTTCTTAGAGTTGTAGAGCATGAATGCATTTTAAACAATGCTAATGAGGAGCTTCAGAAACGTTCGAACTACAGACCTATCATTGATCATGATGGGATACTTTCGAAGAGGAGGCAAAACCAGGTAAGATGACTGAATCTTGTCATAGATATATACCTTTTTTAATGATAAGCTCAGCTGTATGAAACCTGAGCGGTTTTTCTTTGATCAAATTATCAAAAATTTGACACCGGTTAGTGTTAATGCTGCAAGACTTGCAATTATACTGTTGGTGGATTATCCTGTTAACTGGAAAATGAATATCTCATCTTTTCCTTTATTGTGATAAAAATCAGCAACCGCTACTTATTTTTAAGTTATTCTCATTTTCTTAAACGAAAATGATTAATTTTAGGCATTAGAGGTCTATTGTTAGGTTTCTCAAGGAAGTGGCTTGGTACCATTTGGAATCCTTTCCGCTGTTAGTGCGGCTCTTTGCTATATCCTTACTATGTGAGCAAAAATAATTTCCAGAGACTGCTACTTGAATAGTAGTTCTGAAAATTGCTATTATTTACTTGAGTAATACGATCTTGAAGAGTCATCTGGTTCAGATGGCATCGTGAACAAAGATTTTTGAGGACTTCAATATTACTGTTTGGAAATTTTACTATTTAGTCAACTCTCTTTTTGCCTCACTGTAGATGCATTGTTGAAATCAAAGAGAAAAGCAGTATCTCCCTATATTTATATGCTTGTCTATTTTCTTATTATTTTTACAGGAGCCAAATAGAACCAAAACAAAAGAAGAGTTACTAGCTGAGGAAAGGGATTACAAACGTCGTAGGATGTCTTACCGCGGCAAGAAGATTAAACGATCGACAACACAGGTAAAATTCATTATTTGTTTATTTTTTCACCTCCATTCTTTTTCCACATTTAGTCAAGTGTCATGGCTTGTTTTTAGGCAGCTCTAGGCATCTTAAACTTTCTGAGAACATACTATAGTCTTTTCCACATTGACTAGTTGATCTCATTTATAATGGATGTAGTTACAAATAGGTAGTAAATAGATCAAAGCAGACTTCATCGTTTTGCTGCTTGTGGATTTTTAAATAGCTACTGCAAGTAAAGATCAACCATACATTTTGTGAATACTGGAGAGAGAATTTAGTTGGTGGATGTATACAAGGCCCAGCAAAATTTGCGGTTGGGTATTTATATGGTATTAATATCACCCTGTTTCAGTTGAAAGCTTTATCGACAACTTCACTTCCCCGCCTTTAGAAAATTATCTTAGTGGTCAAATTAATTTTTGAAGTGTGTGACACTCGATGTAGTTGTTTTGATAACTTGTTTAGTTTTTACCAAGCTAACCTTTTCTGATTAAGATTTATTTCCGAGTCGTTCTTTTTTCACTCCTTGTCTTGAATGTTTAGTTTTTTGAAGCTCTGGGCTCCATAGGGTCGCTGTTTATGGGACTGTTTTTTATAACAGATTATGCATACCCCTTCTCGGTCCTTTGTTATTTTGATTAATATTTTGGTTCTCGTTTCACCTTTCTTTTCCGTCTTATAGTCTCCGTCAGAGCATAGTGCACCTTTCTGAAGGGAATGCTTGTCTGTTTACCAGGTGATGAGAGACATGATAGATGAATTTATGGATGAAATTAAACTAGCTGGTGGACTTGATTTTGCAAAAGAAGCTGAAGGGGCAGAAGACACAGCTTCTGGAAATTCCCCTGTCCATAATGCTGCTTCAGATGTTGAGTTCATGAACAAACAAGCATCCACAGGGCATCCTCATGTTCATGGAAGCTCTTTGCATTTTGATGCTGGTGGACATTCGAAGAATTCTGAGGATAAGGATGGTGAACGTGATGTAAAAAATAAACATGATTCTGGTTCTTTTTATGACAATGGGAATAATGACAGAAGCAGCAGAAGGGGAAGACATCATCAAAAGGCCAGTTCCAAAAGCCGCGATCGGGGAAAAAGTAGCAAGCACTCACAGGAGCACACACGAAACCGAGGTGAGCACGATGATTCTGAAGTATCGAGGGAAACAACCTCTCGGAGTTCAAAAAGAAAACTACATGATGAAAGGCGTTATCGAAGCGAGGAAAGCAGGCATGATTCAGACCATGGGCATGAACACTCAAGAAAGAGGCGTAGAGATCGCAAATCAGATTCAGTACATACTGAGTTTGAGGATAGATATGATCCTTCGAGTACACGCTATGATTATGAACATGATGCCTATTAGTCTACATATGGAGAAATGGTAGCAGTTTCATCACAACCGTGTTTGCTATTGTCGCTAGCTTCCTCTGTGTTGGGTAAGTTTTATCAATTGACTTGCTCTTTCAGTTACTTGTCAAAGGGTAAAGTTTGACGTAATTCTTTTCCCTCGCCTGTTTCATCACTTGCAGTGTATTGTCTGACTGGAGTTGCAGTTTATCAGCCTGTATCCTCTTCTGTATCCTCAGTTGTTAGCGTCTAATTGTTCTAATTCTTATTACACTGCTACTGTTTTTTTTCTTTCCTTTTTTTCCTTGTTGCTTTCTCTTACGTGATTGTGTTTGTCCTGGTCTTTGGTTTGCCTGCTTGTGGTTTCATTTTGATTTATGTATTGGAGTCTAAAAACTTGACTGACCTTACCAAATGTAGAAATTTGGATTTCTAACAGTGATTAGACCTGATCGTCTTGGTGAAAACAGTTGTTAGGTCATTAGGATTGTGGCAGATTGTACTATGCAAATTTGCTGTGCACATCTAGCGTAGGATGATTGCGCAATTCATTTTATATATGCATTTAGATTGACGCTCCTTGAGTGTAATAGTTGCTTGTTGCTTCCTAGGTTTGGCCGGAGAAAGAAAATATTAGTTCTGTGCACAGAAAACTCTGTCCCTTCTTTTCCCCTCCCCTCCTCAACCCGCCCTTCATTTTATTTTTTTTGGATTGATTTCTGTGGTTGTCGTTTGACCATTGAACATATTCGAGTTGCGTCAACGGTTGGTTTTATTTATGAAGGGCTTGAGGGTAATGCTTATGCTGGGTTACATTTGTTAACATCATGATATATCCAGAAAGTCGTTGACACACAGTTTGAGACGAAATCCTCTCATTAGCAAACTTAGAAAACGATCCGGGCACGGTAAGTTCTCGAGTAAATTGGACTAGAAAATATCTCCAATGGAGACAATAGCCAAAAAAGAAAAAGAAAAATGATGGCTAGCCTGCCGTAAGTGCTTATGTACCAATTCCAGAATTGCAAGAATCGCGTATCCCCAATTTTATAGTATTGCACGGGGTAGTAATGATCATATGTCATTGGAGATTTTGAAGCCTTCATTTCTGAGAACCATGTGTTTATAAACACCATGAAATGACGAGAGCCAATCTTCATTGGGATCAAGAGTCAAAAAGAAAGCCTTTGTTTTCTGACAATGTTGTCTTCACTGTCTGTGGGAGAAGGGATCTGTCAGCTTCAGAGAACTATTACAATCTGCCACTTGTAAGCTCCTTGGGTTTTCTGTAAGAGTGTCCTAGTCCCAAAGTACCCCAATTAGAGCATTCATTGTCCCAAACCCACGTGCTCTCACACACACACACACACACACACACACATTCTCACACATAATCTCAACCGGTGAAAAGAGAATATATTCTGTAGATATTATTTCATTTCATCACATTGGAATGGATGCTCTCTGTTGGTACTAGTACGTAGATACCATAAGCTAGCTCTCAGAAAAAATGAGCACCGTCTCCATAAGCTAGCTCTCATAATATATCCGTATCACGTTTCTGCATAACTCTTATGGTTACTGTTATTCCTTTTTCTTTTTTTTAAAACCCCTCTTGAAATCATTCTCGCCCCTGAACATAAGGATGATTTGATTGTTATTTCACTTCTTTGAAATCATTTTGGAACCGAGAAAGTATAAAGTTTCAATAATCCTTGTAATACACTCCTAAACTTCAAAGGCTCATCAGTTACTTTAGTCATTAAGAGAAGAATACAGTGGTCATTTTCATGTCTAGTGTAGTGTTTGTTACTATATGCTAAATCAACTCAGGGCCTAAGACCCCAGTCTCTTTCACAAAGAACGTGTGTTTATTTTATGTAACAAACCAAAATATTTATATATATGCATGGAAGCACGTATGTTTGAAGCTGTTCTCCCTGATTGGAGGTCTCCTTGATCTTACGTTGCGTAATATGGCATGCGATTTCCAGAGTAGTTCCCAATTGTGGTATATTTAATTAAGAACCTACACAAGAAGTCGATGAGCACCCAACTCAATTTTATTGTATTTCTTTTTTCTCCTTCTCTTTGATGAGCTATCTCCATCATCTCAAGTATAGTCTCTTAGGAGAGAACTGGTAACTGGAAAGGTGATTGTAGGATCACTAACTAATACTCTCTCCGTCCCATAATTATTATCCAGTTTGGATTTTCATTTCTAGTTCAAATTATATTAAAACTGAAAGTACAAACTGGACAATAATTTTAGGACGGAGAGAGTATTATCTTAATGAAAATAGAAGTAGAAAATGGGCAATCTGTCAGCAGTCACAGTAAGACCGATAGGGGAAGCCTTATCTTCAAATACATCTTCACTAAATATATTTTTTATTAGTTCATTGATCACGGACACAAATAGCTAGATTAGATGCATGATGTAAACCCACTGGGGAAATGTACATTTGCCTGGTCACTAAAGTTCCCAGTTCGAAAAAGATATTCCCCAATTTTGTATCCGTATAAGCTCAATACAATAAACAAAATTCCTTTTTTTTTTTTCTTGTTAAATGCAGTGTTAAGTTTTCAACTCGCATTAGACGAGTTGCGCCTGGAATTCCTCCAAGATAAAAGAGGAGCATTTGGTTTGGTAATGGTAGGTGCAATATTTCTATAAATAAATAAATAAATATATATATATATGGGGGGAATACGACTTAAAATTCAACAGAATATTAAATGGAGCGGACAAAAGAAAAGGCCATTGATATGAAACACCACCAAGTTTTAACCATTTAAAGGCCAATGTTTGACCTTAACGCTTTAGCTAATGTACAACTTGCAAGTTGGAATGAATACATAAAATCAACGCGTTGCCAACCCAATTACCATATTTATAGAGCTAGGATAGTGAAATTTTACTTTAAATTATGGAGGGATTGTTAACCTGAAGATGATATATACATTGCCCGTTTAAAATAATTTCACAATTCATGCAAGAAAATAAAAATAAAGATTGTAATCATCAGTTTGTATATGCACCTCTCTGTGTCTGATCAAATGAGAAACCTTTTAGATATTCATTTTATTCCGACCTAACGTTATTTGGTTTGCCCAAAATCAAATTTTGTATACGGGCTAAGCTATGACGATGAGACACAATGTTGTAACTAAAGTTTGAAAATTCGAGTCACCATAAGATGTTCTACACTAATGACAAAAAATGTATGTCGAAAAAATAAAAATTAACTATCGGTTATATGGAACATATGTCATGTTATTGTGCTTAAATTTACTGTCGTGTCGAGTTTTTATACTAATGAATAAGAAGCCAACACTTCAATCACTGCGAAATCACTTGATTCATGTAGTTTACCACTTGGGGAAGAGAGAGAGAAGGAAAAACAAAGGGCAGAAGTTAATGATTATGATGATTACCTTAAAGTAAATCGAAATTACTGATGAATTTTCAAGTCAAACTTCAGAATCTGCTTGCTGCTCTAATTAACATTATCTTTTTCCAAAAAAAAAAGAAAAAATATATTAACATTATTATGTTTTACTTGTAACTATGCCGTTCATCAGCAAACTCACATTAATGATGATATAAGAAAGTTGGCAGATTTTCAGGTTCAAGCTTGCTCATTGACATTGTTAACCTCCTGTCTTTGCCCCAAATTACGGATTTGTAGTATATTTGATTGCATCAGATTTTATCATACGTTATAATTTTATGGAAGGCCAACTTTCTTTTTTTTTTTTTTTTTCTGGCAATGCTTTTGTTAAAGGGGGGTAAAAAGTGACCGACATTTCAACCACCTAAAAGGGTCAAATACAACCGTTCAAAATATATTCTCATTTTCTCATCATCAATATTATTTTCTGGGATTCTAGGGGCCACTTATTTTATTTATTTTTGGCAAAAAAATATACATTTTGAGCAAACGTCATTTCATGCTGATTCTTTTTCTTTTCTTTTCTTTCTTTTTTGGTTGAAAAAAGTTTATTTAAACTCCATTGATTAGTTTTTAGGAGGAGGAAGATCATGAATTCATGATTCCGCTCAAACTCGATTTAGAGTATCAAAGTGAAATCTTGAAAATTGTAAAACCCCGTTAAAAAAGACATTACTAGATGTTACTATTTGAAAGTGACAAATAATGAAATAAACATTATAAACTTAATAAAGTAACAAAAATTTTCCATTAGTACTTACCCTCTCTCTCTCAAAAAAATGTCATATGTCTATCATAATAGGACAATGTGATTAATTATTTTTCTTAAAGTAAATTAGGTCCAAAAACAACACTCGAGAGAAGAAGAGTAAGATTTAATATAATTTAACTACTTGTGAAAAAATAAAAAATTCCAATCACTTCCATTACAAGGGAATAGGATATGCATGTCATTTGAGGTTTTTTTTTCTTTTCACATAAATTTCAATCATTGAGAATATCATTAAAAATAATAAATCATGATTATAGTTAAAGTACAACGTTACATGAATGAATTGGCTCAGTTTGATTATTATTTCAGCCGCAAAAAATACATAGATGAGCTAATGGTATAATTCAGTAAAAGAGTATTTATTATTATGGATAATCCATGTTTTATTAACAAAAAAATAGTAGTACTATAAAGCATCCAGAATACAAAATTACAAAGAAATCAAAAACCATAACTGTTAGTCTGCTAAACAACAAAATCTACCGACATGGTCCAATCCCAAAGGGCTAATTTCTTTATTATTATTATTATTATTATTTTTTAACTTTTTAGTCTTTTAGGCAGAGAAGAAGAAGAAAGAGTGAAAAAAAAAGTCAGGTGGAAATTAGCATCATCATCATCATCAATCAAAGTATAATTATTAAGGAGTTATTCAGAAGAAGAAGAAGACGACGCCGACGGCCTCATTTCCATCTCCAAATATTTCATCACAGTTTTACGGTTATTCAAACCGAACCCAAATAAAAAAAATTATAAAAAAAAAAAATTCGCCCCAAAGCAAAAACACAACAAGACAAGCGCAAACCCAAAAAAAGCCAAGAAGATACAAACAATGGAGGAAGTTAGTATAGTAGCAGCTTTTTCTTCTTTATTCTTCTTTGTTTTCACCCCCTTCTTCTTCTACTGATTCTTCTTCCTCCAAATAATACCACCATTGGAATTGAATCGAAATTGAATTGTTTGTTTGCCCCTTTTAATATCCCAGTTCTCAGATTGTCTCTCGATTCTTTCTTTGGTTTTGTTGAGTAAAAAAAAAAAAAAAGAAGATGGCTAAGCCGACGACACCCGATAAAGGGGTTCCGGAGACGAAAACCACTGCTTCTGATGTAGAACTCAAGACGGAATTGCGGAAGGCGGTTCAGAGTATTGTGGAAGGAGAGGATTACGCATTGGAAGACACTGATCGCGCCATGCAGTCCTTGTCTTCTTTGAAACGATTTCTGTCGATGCGTTCCAGCCCAGAAAGTGTCTCCGTTGATCTTCCGCCGCCAGAATTTGTCTGCCCCATTTCTGGAAAACTCATGAGTGACCCTGTTGTGATCGCCTCTGGTCAGGTTAGGCAATTTCCCATTCTGGTTTTTTTTTTTTCACCGATTATATCGATTCAAGATTGTATTGTTCGCGTTGTTCTTATTCTTGGTTTGAGCTTTTCTTGTTTACTCTGCGCCACTTGATGTCCTTGTTGGTGTTTAATTTGGAAACTCCCCTGTTTTCTCATGGGATTCTGTGATGTTCTTGGCTAATTTCTGGTGAAGGTTGATTATGATTTATTTTTTAAAAATATATAAAAAAAAATAAAAAATCAACCGACAGAAGATGGATTGTTGTCCTTTCCTTCCTCTTGTTCTTGTTGGATAATATGCTTTCACTGTCATTCCTCTGAAATTATGGCTACTGTTCTGTTTGCGAATTCTTTATTTTAGTTCTTGTTCTTTCTTTGATTGCATTTCACTTAGTCAAGATTACATCAATTAGGATGCTGGTTTGAGGAAGCACAGATTTGGGGTTATGTTTAAATTAAATTGTTGAAATGATTAATGGACAGTGACTTGAAAATGGAATTTATGTACTGGTTTAATAGGGATGATGTTGACAATTGATGAAACTTAATTACCATTATTTTAATGAGAATTTGTATTATTTTCGATGAAGTCTCGTGTCGATCATGAAGTAAAGTGGGCCAAGAAAACAAATGGTGCAGAAATATCTGTGTCATATACATAGATGTTGTTGGATGTTGTGGAGCTGGAATACATGTATTTTTCCTTGCATTATTTAGCTGCATGGGACCGTGTGTTCATTCCATTCAATGGAATTTTGTACATTCCTGCAAAAGGGGATTGTTGGTTTTTAGTACTCATTGAATCAATTTTTAACATTCCTTCTTGTTTTGTGTGCCAGGAACAAAATCAGGAGAGTTAAAAGTTAAAACTGAAAATTGCGTGATGTATGTCCTGTTTATGTACGGTTGTAATTTTGTAAAGCTTGTTTTTTCATCTGAAATGACTCTTTTGTTTCTCATATGAACCAATGTGCAGACATATGATCGGCCATCTATCCAAGAGTGGTTTGCAGATGGAAATCTAACTTGCCCCCAAACTGAGGAAGTTCTGTCCCACACCAGTCTCATACCCAATCTTCTGCTGAAGGGGTTGATTGTCAGATGGTGCAAAGAGAACGGAGCTGATCTGCCTACCTCTCTCCTGGATGTTGAAGGAGATACGGCAACAGCAAATGTTGGTCATGCACACTTGAGTTCGGTGCTTGATAGGCTTTCTTCCTTATCTGTTTCTGATAGAGCGATGGCTGCAAAAGAGATTAGGCAGCTAACTAAGAAGTCACCAGATTTCAGAGCACTTTTTGGAGAGGTTACTGATGCCATTCCTAGATTGGTTGAGCCACTTTCATCAGGTATTGCTGAGAATGATCCTGATCTGCTAGAAGATTTAATCACAGCATTATTGAATATCTCTATACATGGAGATAATAAGAAGTTACTGGCAGAGAATTCAGCTGTGATTCCTTTAATGATTAAGGCCTTGAGGATTGGAACTGTTGCAACAAGAAGCAATGCCGCAGCAGCCCTCTTTTCGTTGGCATCCCTGGATTCTAATAAGCAAAAAATTGGGGAGCTCGGTGCTCTTAAGCCTTTGATTGAGCTTGTGGAAGAAGGGCATCCACAGGCAATGAAGGATGCTGCTACTGCGATATTCAGTTTATGCTTAACTCGGGAGAACAAGAGCTTGGCTGTTGATAATGGAGCAGTTGTCATCCTAATGAACAAGATCAGAGAGCATGTACTCATGGATGAGCTGTTGTCAATCTTAGCTTTGTTGTCCACCATTCAGCAGGCAATTGATGAGATGGCTGAGCTTGGTGCAGTGCCCCTTCTTCTTGAAATTATCAAGGAAAGCAAAAACGAGCGAAACAAAGAGAACTGCGTGGTAATCCTTCATACAATATGTTACAACCATCGCCAGAAATTGAGAGAAGTCAAGAGAGAAGAGGATGCAAACAGAACTATATCTGAGCTAGCAAAGAGTGGAACTTCAAGAGCCAAGAGGAAGGCAAATGGCATTCTCGATAGACTTGACAGATTTTTCGCCTGTGCTTCAAGTTCAAATACTGCTTGAAGCAGAAAAACCTTAGATCAGTGTGTACATTCTCATTCCCCAAATGTAAGTATCAACTGCTTCATTTTAGGCCCACAGATCCCTCAGGTTGAAGTTTTTTAGAGCACACACACAAAAATCCTATTTCTAATCTGTCCTGTCCTTACTGCACCTGATCTACGGGAATGTGCAAAGTGTTGATGATCCCAAAATCCCATTTTTTTGGAACTGAAGATTCTGAAGGACAAATGTTACTGACATGGCATGTGTAATGAGGACAAAAGAGTATAGTTTTTCTCGATTTGGGTATCTTCTGAAATTGGGCATAGGTTGCAGTACAATACTGCTTGGAAATTTTGGAAGCTGTCAATACTGAATCATAGTTGTGCATTCTGCAGTAAAAGTATACCCTGTGACTATTGAATTGATAGTGGAATTTTGATTACTTAGCCACTCAATTTTTGTGAAATCTTTTCTGTGTTCATTTCTGAACTACTCCCCTGTTTGAGAAACCAGAAGTGAGTACTTTTTACTTGAATTGGTCATGACTTCTGAGGTAGCGTTGCCTAATAGAATTGAGTTTATTAAGCACTGAACCTTTAATTAGTTGAAGCCGTGCGAGGATAGATCTTGCCATTAAAGCTTAAAATCGTAACGAAAATGACAAATTTAGGCAGCACACAAGCAAATGGGATAACAACATCACACAGAGAGTTGACTGTAATCCATTTTTTTGTTTTTTTTTTGAATTCGCGTTTTTGTTTGAAGATTGGGCAAATATGAGAGGATAAGAATTTTTTGCCTTTTCCTTTTCCCTTTTTAAAATGATGTGAGTGAGGGGAGGATAGGGGGGAAGGACATAATTGAGTTTGATGGAATTACATACACATTAGTTTTGGCATATTAGCCTTTTCGGTTTTGGTGGTCCATTTCCATGAATCCGAACAAGTATTAGCATTCGTAATGGCTAGTTTAGGACATGACCAGGACGTTTAGATAATGCTTAGGATGAACATTTTTGCTTTTGATCTTTGTTGAGTTGCAATCAATCCACGACTCATAAACTTCGACATTTTCAACCGAGTATTATTAGTGACAACGAGATGCATTTCAAAGACGATGTTTTAACCGTGTTACATGTTCTACTTTTTGCCTTTCCACTTATTAAATTGCAGTATAACAAATAAAACAATTTATTTTAAAGCAGAGAGTGTATACATATACTAACAACTTATATCGTTATTACACAATTCCGTATCCTATTCACTTTTAAGTTCTGACTAATTCGGATCTGAAATAGAAAAATTTATTTTCAATGGTATATGATATGATATTTTTTTAAAAAAATTAAAATTTAAGTAAAGACAGACACTCGAAAACTAATAAATAAATACCAAAGTCATAGCTAGGGACAAAATTTACAAACCAGTTCGTGAAAATTGAAGCTGTCCACAACAGCCAGATTACAGATACAATTTTCTTGAACAGACAACATTATACTCTACTTCCGTAAAAATTAAGGTGATACCAGCTAGTCGTTGTACTGAGCTAAGGTATCTCCAGTATAACATGTGAATGGATTATTAATACATGGAATTGCTGCTTAATTAGCTCACATTCTGCCAACTTGTTCTGATCTCATCAAAATTCTGCAACTTCCTGTGGAACTAGTTTGCATCCGTCGAGAATTAATTGGTCGTGAGGGGACTAAAATCAAGACATCTTCATTTGATATATGATTAAACTAGTTAACATTTTGTAGTAAGTGGTTCCTCTCCCGCTTTCACACTTTGTAACCAAACTGACCATTTATCGTTTTCTAACTCCCTTCGTCCCATAATTATTGTCCAATTTAAGTTTTCATTTTTAGTTAAAATTATACCAAAAGTAAAATCTTAAAGTGAACAATAATTTTGGGACAGATGGAGTATTTTATTAAGGAATTAGATTTAGAGGTTGCCCCTGAGGCCTGAAGTTGCGTGGATGCTGTAAAGTAGGTGGGGAAAAATTATATGCAAATAAGTAATTTTAAATTCAATATCTTGGATAATATTTTCTTTTTTAAAGATCATAATATAAAACGAAATTCATCATTTTTTCTTTTCGTTTGTGAGATCTTTGAACCAATGCACATAAGTTCCATTTCCACTGTTTTCATTCTTTCGATACTCAAAATAAATGTGAAAAGTTTCTGCCCTAGATATCATGACAGTACACAAATTTTGTTGTATTCAAAAAAATAACAAGAAAAGAAACAAAAGTATAATGGTAAGATCTTATCTTATCATTTATATTAACACATATAAGCAAAAATAAAAAAGAACGGGCGGGACATGGTTCCTTTGTTTGGAGAGAAATTTCCTAATGTTTTATTTATTTCATTTTAATGGAAGAATCAAATTAGATACCGAGAATTTCTTTTTTCAGTCAGATATTGTGAATTTTATTTTATGTGTTATAGTAAAAGTTGTTTTAAGAATTCAATTTTAAGAAAAGATTTTCAAAATATGGTATATCTTATGGCATCATAAGAGATTTGGGTATACTTATAATATCATAACTGAAATGGAAATGTTTTTATTTACTTTATTTTAAAAAGTATCTGTAAAAAAGTGAAATTAAATAATTACATAAAAATATTGACCACACTCGATTGCTTTTTATTTCTCTAATTTTTTAATCAATTAGCTGATTTCATGTATCCCAAATCCCTGCGCTTCTAATATACTCCATTTGTTTCAAAATTATTGTCCAGTTTAAATTTTTATTTTCAGTACAAATTAAATTAGAAGATAAAATCTAAAATAGATAATAATTTCAGTATAGAAGGGGTGTGATAGAGGGAGTGTAAGATTGTGGCCTTGTACGCGTCAACTTAACAAAGCCGATGAAAATATCGATGAAGTTTGAAACCAATTGTTTTGTATCATTTTCACAATTTGTTAATAATATTATTGTATGGTAACTAGAAAGTAGATCTTTAGCCATGTCGTGGGTTCTCCATCTAGGTTATGTTATTGTGAAAAAAAAAAAACCCTTCTAATTTTATGATTTATCTACATATAATTATTGAGTTTTGAAATATATGCATAATGTGTTTTTTCACATATATATAAAGCCCTTTTACAATCTAATAATTTTAATCAATAATAATAGTTTTGTGGTAGTTGAATAGGCTTAAAGTTCATAGCCAATAATCAAACATTATATCATAAAACGTGCCGGAGAGTCTTTGACTCTGTGAATCTAATGGATTCTTGTACATTTGAAAATTGAAGCAAAGTACATTAACAAATTGATTTGGATCTTTTTAGAGATTTGTTATTTTTGAAACTGGCGAAAGCTCAAATAATAAAAAAAAAATGCATGAAAGGAAACTTTCCAACTCTCTCTAAAGCAAGTGATTTCAAGGACAATTTGTTTTATTGAATTTTATGGTCAATTTGCAAGTCTATCTTGCTTATACATATAGGAAGCAACTTTGTTTTTAAAGGCATTAGGTCGGTGTTTACCATCACCTGGAAACCCTCTAAATCTGGATGGGTAATGCATATATCAATATGCCTTTGGATATCCCCAAAATCTGAATGGGTACTGGTAAACACCGATGGATCATATCGGGATATGTCGAACACATTACATCTACATATGTTATTAGAGATGAGCATAGAAATTTTATTTGAGCATTCACCTACACCATTGATTCAAAAAATATTTTTTAAAAAAAATAAAAAAAAATTCCCCAGGTCTGAACTCCTTTCCAGATTCTCTTTTCAACTTAGAGCAAGTTTACTGGTACGTGCCACTTACACCATGACTCAATTCTTACATTTACGTGAACAAATCCTGCAAAATGGGTATGGGTGCGGGCCAAAAGGGGTAAATACATTGGAGGAGAGAGGAGTAAGTAGATGTGGGGTTACTTATGCTGAGTTGGAGAAGAGAGCCTCACTATTTACCCTCTTAGCACTACTCTTGCTCTTATATAGACAATTCCTTTGACTCGGATGCTGGGCCCCCTTCGTAAATTCTCGTCAACCCTGAAAAATTTAAAAATTGGACCCAGGTCTAATACCAGGAAGCACAACATTCTAACCACTAGACTGTCATATATTTAAAACTTTAAAATTTCGATCTTAAAACTATATTGTATTCTCTTATTGTTTATAGTTTATAATTTTTTCATAGTAAATATATTTATATTATATACATTAAACATAATTATGTTATAATTAAATATTGTAATATTTTACTGGAATTAATTCAAATATTTATTATGTTCATACGTTTCATAGAAGTTTCAAAATTAAATATAAATTTTTAAGTTATATTATAACTCGACTTATTTAATTAATTGATATTCATCATTATATAATAGCAATCTAATAATTCAATCTATTAGTTGAATAATATCATTTAGTCTTTAATATTTATTTTTTATGATATTTTTTATATAAAAGACGTAGAAGTAAATAAAATAGGAGATTCGGGTCCTACCAGAGCTTAAAGAGCTAAAAAGGGTTGCTGTTTACCGCAATGAGGAACCGTTGTGGCATTTCTCCATGATTGTCCCAAATAAGTACTGAAATGAATGGACCGTCTTATGACTTTTGCACATTTTAAAGAAAAATAAATGACATATAAGTATCTCTTAACCTTAACTAGATAAACCCATAAATTGTAAGTTTTGATTATGGACAATTGTGATTTATTATTTGTATATTTTCCTTGCAAAAGTTTTCAACAACAATCACTACTCAAAAAATATCCGGATAAGATTGTAGTTAACAATGTTATAAAATTCTATCTTCACAATTGTTTTACTCAATCAACCTTCGAAAATAAGTGAACAAAAAAAGAATGTGATTATGAATGAAAAAAAAGAAAGGAATAACAAAAATTAAAGCCATATTTAGAGCAGAGAATTGTGATTATGAACATCGAATGGAATACACATATATATAAAGTTTATACAGTAGAACTCACTTTTTTTTTCCAAAGAGGATTAATAGCGGTTCCCTACTTACCCCCAGTGTAACTCAAACCCATGATCTATTGGTCAAAGTTTATACAGTAGAACATATATAAATAAATAACCAATAAATTAATAGCATCTATAAATTGATAGTTTTCTGCAGTCCTTAGTCGGGACCAGTACAGAAAACTAAAGCAATCGATAAAATAATAAATTCATAATTTTCAGAAAATTTTTATATAAATATAGGTCCCGTTAATATCATAAATTAATAATAACTTGAAAAATATATATACATACATACATACATATATATATATATAACTCTAAGTAGGAACTAGTAAAATAATTTTCTTTCAATTTAAATATAAAGAGATTTTTTTTCCATTGCTTTCAAAGTTTTGGTGTAGATTTCTCACATTTCAACAAAAAATTTCAAGAGTTATTGTTATTAAGTGCTTCTTTTTCTGTGATTGGTATCGAAGACATTGGATCATCATCACTTTCATCATAAGTCAAATTTTTAGTGATACTAATTACAATGTCTCTAAAAATTTTATTAATAAATTATTATTTTATCAATTAATTTATTATTATTATTATTATTAACTTATCGATAAATTAATAAATCTACCAATTAATAATTTTTAGAGTCCTTGCGGTATTAATTTATAGATGTTTTATTGTAAAAATTAAAATCTTAACAAATTATCGTAACAAACTATCTATTAATTTTAATATTAAAAAAACTTATTAAACTGTCTCTAAATTGGAATAAAGAACAACATGTAAGATGACAGTGGCTATGAAATCTCCTAACAAGTCAAGTTTAAACGAAATGAACCAATCAAAGTTTCAACATAATTTAGCATTATCTAAGGAAAAAATAAATGGACCAGATCCAACATTTTGTAGGTAATACCGCTATTTTTATGGTTCACTAAGTAACCGATTTCATTTTTCTTTACAATTACCCACAATGATTCATTTTTGTTATTGCCTAAACTCTTAAAAAATCTATATCTATTTTTTTAAAAAAAAATGGATAATAATAAAACTATATTCATACAACAAAGAATTTTATTTTTACAAAAATTAAAGTCTTAACAAATCGTGTATCTAATTTTTATAAACAAAATATGATAATCATATGATAATCGTGTATCTCAAGAAATCCTATTCTAATCTATATCTTTTTCTATAAAAAAAACGCAATGGACAATAATTTAAATATATCCATTCAACAAAGAATTTTTTCAATTAAGATTTTTCTAAATGGGGTAATTGTAAATAGATAAAATTGATTTATTATATGAACAAATTTACTACATCTAATTGACCTTCAATTTTTATTTTTTAATAGGACGTCTAAATAAACAATTTATTAAATAGATAAAGAACGAAAAATATAATATAACTTTGTTTACATGGGAAACAGATGATTTTGATGATAAATGTCCACTATGCTAATATATATGGAGCATCTATAATTTGGCTGGTAACTCAACTCTTAACAAACTATATATAATTAAAAGAAAAATTGATAAGACTTTTTAAACAAACTAAATTCACATATCTTTAAAAAGTATACGGTTTTATTTCTTTTATTTTGGTTAAAAATAAAACAATTGTAGAGGAGGAAGTATAACACATATTTTATCAAATTCAAATGTAGATGATTTCATGACCATTGCAAAAGTCAACACGGTTTAAAATTGAGGATAATGATTGTGCATGAAAATTCTAAAGGGATTCATGAGAAAATAAAATAATAATAACCCGTCCATACTTACTCCTTACATTACAGGTAGGCATGTTAAAGGTTCTAGAAACCACCAGTTCTAAAACCATAATGATGGGAACTGAAACCAAACCTCAAGATCTTGGTTCCGGTTTCAGTTTTGGAACAGTCTGTTTCGGTTTGGTTTTGGTTCAGTTGCAGTTCTAATTTATAGCTGTTTAATACTGTTTCCATGCATTGATATTTCGGTTTCGTCTTAGTTTTAGTTGAGTAGTAGATTTTATTTTATTTTATGTAAAAGAAATTTTTATTAACTTTGTTGGAAAACGTCAAATCATGATCGATAGATGATTATAACCATTAAGATAATACAGTCCCTTAGAATTCTAGATCTAAGAATCAACTGATCATTTTCACCACGAACAATCAAATCACAAATTCTGTTGTAACACCCGAAAATACTTGTTGGAGGTATCACGCACAAAAAAAAATCTCCATCTCGGACTTCACTTATCCTCAATTGAAGGTCCCCAAAAGTAGATCTCAAACATATATTTATTTTGATTGCAAATCCTCAAACGTACATCACAAACCATAACAGTAAAATCATGGGCAAAATTATAGACTAATGATCACACAAAATCATAAAAGAACTAAATCATGATTAATAGAATGAGATCTTGGACGGCTACTGAGACATAATAGATCATTATCTACTTATGGATAATAAATGCCGAGCAAACCAAGGAAATGCCAACGGGCTAAATTTATTCAATTACTAAAAAGAAAATTATATTTTCCTGGGGTTGATAGGGAAGGGAGGCGGTAGAGAAAAAGAGTAAATGTCAAATTCCTTTATTCAACTAAGTTCAGTGGTAGTTTTTATTAAACTTAGTTTCTTTTTAATTTGTAAAAATTTACAAGGAATTTAAAGTAAATGTATAAATCTTTGTTAAAAGTTAAATGTATAAAAACTATAAAGAAACTAAATGGTTAGAATAATATTTCCTATATATTTGTTGCTGTTTTATAGGACTGTGGGTTCTTGATTTTCCAAATATTAGAGCACCTTCATTGTACATTGTGGTTCTTAAAACCGTCATTACAGTTCTGGTTACGAAACTGTAATCATCGGTTCGGTTTTGATTAAAACTAAAACCATGAACATATCTATTTACGGGTTTATTTATTTAAAGGTTAGAGAATTGTGGATCGATTTTTATTCGCTAGATTTTGCTACCAAACTAAAATTTGGTATGACCCAAAAATTAATAAAAAATTATAACCACTAATATTTTTTATTGACTATTAAAAAAAATTTTCATTTAATTATTCACTTTTGTTATAGGTCTCAACATAAAAGTCACGTTTTTTTTTGTTAATGAAAATTTTGGACGTCGACTTTTTCATCTACTTGGAAAATCCGACGATTAAGTCAACAAAAGCCAAAATGAGGGTAACTTGTGGGAAAAAAAAAAGCCAAAAGGTTTTATAAAAATAAATTAAAAAAAAAAAAACCCTGTGGCATGCATTTGCATGATACGCCAATAGGGGCTAGTTTGAGATAAATTTGACATGGTAACTTTAGTCATTTTGTTCCATATATGACTTGGTTTTGTTGCGAATAATATTGTAGTAACTTCAATTATTCTTAAAAAAAAAAAAAAGAAATAAAAGAAAAGAAAAGTGGCTGCAAATGAGAATGAAGTTTGATTGAATTAATCAAGGTTGCACTCCACCAGAATTCTTAATTTTTATTTTTTTTACTTTGAAATGAGAATTCTTAATGTTGTTCGAGATAAGTAAGGGACTCTGTGGTGGCGGATGAATTCAAAACATGATCGGAATAATCACACCATAATGGAATGTCACTTTCTGGGAGATCCACAAAAATGGTTTAATTTGATGGATTGAACACACTGGTTCCGGCTTAGCTATCATCGTGGACGAAACATTGGCTTCTCTCCCACCTCAACAACGTTGTAATCAATCAAATGATTGCTCTTAGTCCCTCCGTCCCAAAATTATTGTCCAATTTGAATTTTTATTTTTAGTTCAAATTGTTAAAAAGTAAAATTTCAAACTAAATACTCCCTCCGTTCCAAAAGAAGTGTCGTTTTAGCAAAATAGAGAAATTTCAAAATAAGTGTCGTTCTCACATTTCAATGCACTTTTTGTCCAAAATTTCCAAAAATACTCTCAAAAGAATTAATGCTACTGGTGGATATCTTTTTAATAGGGTTGGTTGAGGATATTCAAGTAATTTTATTACCTATTTAAGAGTTTCTTAAACTATGTCCAAAGTGTAGGATGACACTTATTTTGAAATGGAGGGAGTAATAATTTTGGAACAGAGCGAGTAATAATTTTCTGCAGTAGGCCGGGGGTGCATAAATTGTTGCTTGATAAGTCTTTATCTCGCGATTATCTCCATCGCCATCGCCATTGTTGCAATAGTTGAAGTAACAATAGATCGTCGTCATTGTCAAAGTCAATCTGTTTCAACGCGGGATCGGGAAGTTATATGTATTCCGACTTTGTTGATGCACAGGATATTTTGGCAAAAGTGATTTAGAAAGGTGAAGTGATATGGTGTTTCCAAAGGGGTCTAATGCATTTCCTAATGAACGCCAGGGATTCACCTGCTACCATAGTCGGGAGTTTTTAACAGCGAAGTAACAATGTTTGATTTTTTTTAACCATTATGCCAAGGGCACTACCATTCTTTTGATTCAGGAATGACAGCGCCTGAACTCTCTGAAAACCCTTTTCCAACAGCAAAAACAATGGGAAAATGAAAAGCCTTTTAAGCATTGGAGAAGTTACAAGAAAAATGAAAAGCGTCTGTTCCTTGCTCATATACAAGCATAAATATATAAAAGTAATGATCAACAGAAAAAGACATGCATATGAATTAGCAGCAGTATCACAGACTATCATGGGGGAGGGGCTAAAATTGGTTTCTCTACCACCTCTATAATTTCGTAATGAAGCTCAAAGTTGCTACTAATGATTTTCTTCAACGGGGACGCATACTCGGTAGCTTGATAGGTTTTCAAAGCACCCTCAACGTCACCATCACCGTCGCCTTTGCCGCAATAGTTAAACAAACTGTCATCGTCATTGTCATAGTCTATCTCTACGTCATTTGGATCGGGAAGATCATAATCGATTAGCCCATAGATTTGATCGTCCACAAGCCCGTAGTCGAAGGGCTCGTCACCTTCCCCAACATCGGTGTTAGCATCGGCTTCCTTAACAGTAAAGGTCAAAAGCAAATGCCAGTCGCAACCGATGCTAACAACTTTCTTAATATCCACAAGCTCATAGGGTTTATGTGATGTGAACATCCATGGTAATCAAGTCCAAGATGATCAAGGTGTTCGGGTTCTATGTACTGTCCAAGCTCAAGGAGTGGCTCAAGATCCATTATCCAATATTAGAGGCCCAATGACTCAAGCTAGAAGTAAAAAGATGAGGAGTGCACTTAATAATCTTATATCAAATGGTTTATCCCAAGAGAATGTCAAGTCTGGAAGTTACAAGCCCAAGATTATTAATGTGTTACAAGGCCCATTTGAGGAAGGAAATTTTGGCCCACAAACCAAGCAAGGGAGGCCAGCCCTATCTCCTAATTTTTAGGAGTTGGAATCTCTATCTTTTAGGGATAAAATCATTTAAATCTTATCACACTTGTGGAAGGATAAGATTTGGAAGATTCCCTATCTTTTAGAGATAAGATCATTTAAATCTTATCACATGGAATGATAAGATTTGATATGATTCTCTTTTATCTAATTTAGAGTTTATTCAAAATAAGAAGTCTATTCCTTGGTGTCTACTCTCAACCGTTGGATGGAGATTAGATCAAGATTGGATGGCTATGATTACTCTAGAAAGAAGATATTGATAGAGCTGACAACTCAAGAAGATTCTTTTCAAGATAAGGATAAGATTCTTTTGAGAGAATATCTCTTTGTATTTGGAGTTTTATTTTCAATAGACTAGTGTGTCTTAAGTCTATAAAGGTGTCTAGATACATTACCTTAATAGATAAGACTCAAGTTGTCAATTAGAGGCTAAGTTGGTTTCTAGTTCTTTAAAGTAGGAATAGAGTTAGAGATCAAACTCTTCTCCTACTTCATAGGAGAATTTCGGCCCCCTATACTATAAATAGGGGTGTTTGGCCAGCATTTCATTTGTACCTTTGATGAATTATTTCAATATGAGACGAGAGGAAACTCTTTGTTCTTTTTCTACTCTTTTCGAAGATTAGTGCATTGCACACAAGCTTGTGCTTTGTTGATGCATGCGAGTAGAATAGGTGTTTTTCTACTTGTGGAGCTTTGTTAGTTGTTCATTGGAGCTTTTTCCCTAGCCATTCTATCCATAAATCGAAGGGATAGGTTTGTTAGAAAGGTGACCGATTGGGTTGCTAACCTTAAACACTTTCTACATCTTTTAATTTTTGTGAGTTGTGGAGTCCATAATATTGGATTTGCAAGTTTTCAACTCCTGGGAAATTCATAGCTTCCGCGTCGAGGTAAATCTGCCACCTTTGCCTCAAGATTCATATCATTCTGGCTCTGGCGAAGGATAACCAAAAAAAAAATCAAGATATAAGAATAAGATTCAAGAAATCATCAACTAAAACTAAAGCAAAAGCAATAGTAGGCTATGTTGGGAATTAGTGTGGTGTTTACACTTACTTTGTCTTTATTGAGATGCATCTTGATGACAAACTAAGTTGCGTTCTTGACTTCGGCATGCATCTTTTACTTCTTCTGAACCCTAATTTTGGCCTTAAAGCACAGTACATACAGATCATACCCCTAGTATATATACAAAATCATTCCGTTAGAAAAATTCAACTTTGAATGATATATACGCCCTCTGTCAAAAGGAAAAATACTACAAATCTGAATCTGAATTTTTTTAACGTGCAGCAATTAGTCCTCCGGTCACCATTCCGCCGAAATCTGAATTTTTTTTTTATTGATTTTGAGAAAGAAAAATTATTATCATATTTTTCAAGTTTGAAATTTATAGCCCTGGCGATGAGGCCATGCGGAGGGGCATATGCGCATGATTGGTAAAAAGCTGCATATCCTAAATTTTGGACCAAAGCGTAATGGATTGGATTGGTGAGGAGAGATAAAAATTGTGAGATGATGAGGAAGTTTGAGGATGATACTGAGGATTAAAAGTGCCTTCCACCGGGAGACATGTCTCTTATGTCCGTTCATATTAATTAGTTTGTCGAGGAATCGGGAGTTATGTAGGAAGGAGGAATATTTAGATCCAGCCTTGGGGCTGGACTATGCCGCAAAAAGAAGAGCATCAGCAGACAATGCCCGGGTTGGAGTCACAAGTCAAACGACTCAAGACCAAAAGCACTCAAAGAACAAGCGTCAATAAGGAAACGAAAAGAGAGCACCAAAGTAACTTACGAAAATATAATAGGTTCACAATAGTTTAAGCCACAAATTACTGACAATAAAACAAGCCTCATTGTCAAAAGACTCCAGATATAATAGGCGTCAGACCGTGGTTAAAGCATGATATAATAGGTGTTGCATATCCTAGAAATGTGCTAAGTTGAAACTAGACTTGTGGCCTCTCTTTCTGTAACCAAAAAAAAAAACTCCAGATATTAGTTGTACAACATAATGTCCATACAAAACCATAGCCATAATCCATAATTAATCCAACATAAGCACATAGCAAGAGAGAGCAAATGATTTGAAAGCATGCCAAGAACCAAAGCGGCCTCCAATCGGAATGCTCGTCAAGTCCGAGCTTTGGAAATCGGCATCCAATCGGTGTTTCATCCGTATGCAACTCTAGCTTCACCGGCTCTGGATCTGGCGCATTCACAAGCTCTTCCGGAAAACCGTCCAACTCTACCATTGTAAACTTACTCCCTAGCATTTTTCAGGAAGGGAAGTTAGGGAGGCATATTTATATTTATAAAAGAACACCAATGGGTATAAATAAAATTGTATATGGATCAGCCAAAGCCCTGAGCAGCGGGCCAGCTAGCTAATGGACCAAGCCCAACAACCAACCAACTGGATAGGTGTCAGGCACCAAAAAGTTAGAGGCGGTGGCAGTTCAAATTTGAGCAAATGGATTGGAGGCTGCGTTAGAAAGCAATTGGGACGTCAAGTGGGACGTGATCTGTCAACCTAAAATAAGAGGAGGGCTAGGACTCAGGAAGCTAAGAGACGTCAATACCACTTTCCTCCTAAAGTTGGCCTGGGAAATGATATCAGGCAGAAAATGCCTATGGACATTGCTGTTCATGGCAAAATATGGCAGAGGCTTCATCTCAACAGCACAACAAAACCAAAACAAGAATGGGTCGCACCTATGGGAACAACTAGCAAAGGTTTGGTCTACTGCAATTCAGGGAACCAAATGGATCATAGGCAATGGGGGAAACAACACGTTTCTGGAACGATGTGTGGCTGGACTTAGAAAAACCAATCAAACACTACATACATACACAGCTACCACTTCACACACTCAAGAAGAAAATAAAGGACTATGTGGACATAAATGGAAATTGGAAATGGAGTGAGATCAACATATATGTACCTGAGGAAATCAGAAGCAAAATCCTCTCCACGCCACCACCAGACTCACAAACTGGGCCAGATAAAGCTTTTTGGCGCTGGACCAGGAAGGGCTCTTTCACCACAGCATCAGCATACCAGCAGCTTAAACAATAAGACTGGGGCGAAGAAGACAAGACCTGGGACAAAATATGGAAGTGGCAAGGCCCGGAAAAAATCAGGATTTTCCTGAGGAAATTAACCCGCGAAACAATTCTCACAAACGCAGAACGAAAGAGAAGACACATCTCAAATGAAGATTCAATGCGAGTTCTGCGGAAAAGAAGAGAGCCTCTTCCATCTCTTCAGAGATTGTCCGAAATCCAAACAAATTTGGAACACTTTAAGGGGGGACATCGACTCTCAGTTTTGGACACAGCAAGATTGGAAGTTATGGCTTACCTCTCATTTAACTCTCTCTTGTTCGCAGGAAGGAATTAATTGGCCGACTTGGTCGCAACGACTTGCTGGAAGATCTGGAACTTCAGGAATGAAGAGGCATTCGCAGGGAATTGCACAAATTCCAGAAGCATCGCCTACTCAATCAGGGGTTCAGTCGCCGAAATCAACAGATCGATCAACCTTAACAAGCCAAAGAAGCCCTCTTCATCACAACAGGATAAACAACAATGCAGCTGGGAACCACCACTGATTGGATGGGTCCGTCTAAATACAGATGGATCCACAACCCCCGCAGTAAATAAATCGGCAGCCGGAGGAGTATGTCAGAATCACGAAGGTAGATGGCTGACCGGTTTCACAGCAAACATAGGTGATTGTTCAATTTTGGAAGCGGAGTACTGGGGAGCATTTCATGGGCTTAACATGGCTTGGAAACTGGGCTTTCGAAAAGTCCAGCTCCAAATGGACAGCCTAGTGGCAGTCCAAGCCCTTAACCAAGCAGAAAACCCCCTTAGTCAGCCCAGTCATGTATTACGTACAATAAGTGTGTTATTGAACCAACCATGGACGGTAGAAATACACCACATTCACCGTAGCGGGAACAAAGTAGCCGACACCTTAGCTAAAATGGGCTACTCCGCCTCGGAAGGAATACATATTTTGGCAACCCCTCCTAATCCACTAGATAGCTTATCTTTTGACAATCCAACTCCTTCTCTTAGAGTTATTTGTAAACTAAGCTTAACGCTTTCTCAGTATGTAAAAAAAAAAGAAAAAAAAGCAATTAGCGTTCATCATCTTTTATAAATATATGGAAGGCATGTTTTCCAGAATTATCCAAGAAATGTAACTGAATTATGCTCTCTTTTGCTTAATCTCTAAAGCTTCTTCTCTCGGTTGCTTTCTATCTCCCTTCGTTCTCTCCTTCTCCATTTTGACCTAAATTTCTCCATTCTCATCTCCAATTTTGTTCTTAACGACAAATCCATATTAATTTCGGGAATTTGAAAACCCAGTTCCTGACAATAAGCTAACAAGATTTTCAGTTCGCATGTGAAACAAAATTAAGGCTCTGTTTGGTTGCATTGAATTGGGATCAAGAATTAGAATTGAAGCTCTTTAATTCCAATTCTTGTATTTGGTCGGTAAAAATAAAGGTCCAAGAATTAGAATTATAATTCAAGATGGAGCTCAATTCTTTATTTTCAATTCTTTTATGGGAGCAAATAATTGGAATCCAAATTCAATGACTTAAAAAGAATACGCGGGTCATAACCGGGTCATTTTCGGGTTATAACCTAAACGGGTCACCCTCTCAATTTTTGTCTTTTGGCCTTTTATATATATATATATATATATTTTATTATTATTTTTCAGCTTTTTTCTTTTTCTTTTTTTGCTTTCATCTTCTTTTCTTTGTTTTTTTTGGGGGTTGTTTGTCTCATTATTATTATTATTATTATTATTATTATTATTATTATTATTATTATTATTATTATTATTATTGTCATATATATATCATTTTAATAATTATCAACGAAATCAATCTAAAATTAACAATGTATCTTTTTTACAAAAAAATCAAAAGTATAGCTGTACCCAAAAAAAATTAATAACTAAATATTTTAGTTTTGGGTTAAATTTTTATTATATTATCACATAGTAAACAACATAACATTTTTAATTTTTTTTTATAGAAATTGTTCCGTGTATACACCTATATTATAATACATATACATATATATTAAACTATTTATGGCATCTTTTCACCAAAAATTACGTAAATTGAGTTTTAAGTATCTATTATTTCATAGGAAAATGATATATTTAGTGAAAAAATAGTGAACAAAGATAGTGAGTGATGTGGCTTATTCTTGGCCCCTAGTTTTTTTCCACTTTCCCGTTAAAATTTTATCTTGCCCTAAAGAATTATATTTTTACCCTTTATTAATAAATGCACATATTTAGTGAGCATGGTGTATTTGTCTTTTTATTAGTTACTATAATTTTTCACTGTAATAGTCATTATCTCTATCGTTGCTCTATTTCATATATAATTATATATTAGAATAAAAACATTTAAACATATATTATATACTAATGTTAATCTATGTATAAATGAACCTCAATATTCATAAACTGAATTTACAATGTTATATAATAAATTTTTTTAAACTTTTTGATATAAATCAAAACATAAAAAATTAAAAATTTTGAAAAATAAGAAAAGAGAGGAAAATAAGGATGGTTTATGTGTTACTTGTTTGTGTATTAAGTGAGAATTTTAAGTATCATATTAATAATTCTTATACATAATAATATTTTTTTGTTTCCAACAAAAATGTGTGTACATAATAAATTACAAAATTAATATAGCAAATTAATTAAAAATAATAATTTGTTCAACAAAAAAAATTAAAAATTGTATTAGTTAAACAACCACAAAGTAGTCAAATATACATGTATATAATGAATTTATTTATTTTTTGTGTTATACATATCTATAATAAAATAAGTATTTTTTTTTTTTAGTTTTTGACAAGAAGTATAAATTGTACTAGTATTAGTTATACAATAACAAACTAATTTCAATTCTAAAGTATCCAAAGTTTTATGCATCCAAACACAAGAATTGGAATTAGAATCTTAGTTCTTGTAAATTTTCAAGATCTCCCGAACAAAGGAATTGAGATTGAATTACAATATTAATATGACATTTTCAATTCAATAGTATTGTAATTCTAATTCAATTGCAATTCAATATAACTAAACGGAGCCTAACATTAAAATTGAAGTGTTAATTTTTGGTTTAGTATAGGGTATGCGGAATAAAAAAATAACAAAAAGAAAATAAATAAATAAATAAATATTTATGGTTAGTTTGTTCTCGAAAAAATAAGAGAGAATATGGTAAATGAAAAAAAAAAGTGATTGGGATAAGTAAAAGTGAACATAGTAAAATTGAAAAAGTGATATACTAAAGTTAAAATTTGGCTCAATTGAAACAATTTTAAAAAAAGTTGGAGCAAAATTGACAGAATTATAAAATATTAGGACAAATGTTTTTTTTTCTTTCTTATAAATAATGAAAAGTTCAGATTTCGTTGGAATGGTAGTTGGATCCGGCTAATAGGATCAATTTTAAACAAAAATAAAAATAAAAATATCAAGACTAATCTTTTCACATAAACAAAAAACATTAAGAGCGAAAGCTGAATCACAAAATATTTTAGAGACTAAAAGGATCACGCCTTTTTTTATTTCAAATTTTAAAATCAGTTTGAGATTTGATCAGTATACGGAAACTGGTAGAGGAAGTCAAGTTATTAGAATATAGTGACAATGCTACTTTAGATTGGGCAACTGACTGGAGTTCATCATGATCAAAGTAAACAAAAGTTATTGGCTTGTGATTTGTAAGTAGGAATGAGGTACAATTATTGAGAGACTTTACCATAGATAATGTAGCGACTCTTCTAATTAACCACAGTCCCCTGATCAATGTTTGCTTGGAGTCGCCAAGATATGGCAAGAAATTCTCATACTCAGTGACGTTAGAAATTTTAGTCTGTAAAATAAAATATTTAATTTAGAATTTAAGGATAATAATTAAGTTGGCAACCCTCCACTTGCATGGTGGTTATTTTCTACAAACCAAAAGTTGTATACTTAATTTGAATTTTTTGTTTCTGCAAGTATTGCCTATAAATAGGTGAACTAGTGCGGGATTTCATTCTAACTTTTGCATTCCTAAATTCTTGAGAACATTCAATAATTGCAAGTTACATGTTCTTGTGTTCTTTATGTCCTGGAGGCAAATTGCCAAACAAACCCGGTATTGCAACATGGAGCGGGCAAATATTATCTTAAGGACAGTGTCTAATACGATTAGAAAACATCCAAATCTTGTGATTCCATCATTATTGTTAGATTCAAGTTTCTAGCAATAAAGCTCATAAATCTTTCATCTTTATTCTTTAGTATCTTTTGTGTTGACTCTTTGATTACCACCCCCATATACTTTCAATCTTAAGACAATATTATAGCCATGGATTGATACAAGTATTTAAGGAGACCAGGTTCAAAGACAGTTAAAAGCAATGAAGATGGATCTTACAACATAGAGATTTTTGGATGTGTTCAAAATGGTTTCTCTACGGTTTAGTTCCCTAGTCAAGTTCTGAAAACAGATCTAGAAAGATCTAGAGTATATTCAAGCGAGTATATAGCAGATAAGTTTCTGATTTATATACATTAACTTTGTGCGAAATGTTTTCTTTGAAATTACAAAATTTGTAGTAAATTATTCCATTGTGATAATTTAAAAGTTTTTAAATTTGTGTTTTAATTTTGTATTAACCAAATCTAGTGTTGTGAAAATTATGTGGATTAATTTGTATTTACGATCTTACAATAATTATTTATTAGTGATTTTAAAGTGAATTTTGTTGACAAAACAAAACATGCAATGAATGTTTTTTCTTGAATTTCTTAGTTTTAAGAAATGTGAAAGACGTATTATTATAATTGTGTTGAAATTGGCCTTTATGTGAAAAATTATGAATATTTATTATTCAAACTAGTAATGTTTATTATGTTAAAAAAATCTATAATTATAGCAACTGTAATTTGATTGCATGTAAAAACATATGATGTTAGTGCCCGTCGATCTTATTGTCGGTCATTTTGAGTCGACAGAAAGGTCGATGCCTATT